TGTAGGCTTGGCCAACCTGTCAGTATCCCAGCCCTCATGCCTCCTCCCGTTGACTTGGCTGCTTGACTTTGAAGGGATGCTACAGCTGAACGATTTATTTTATTTTTCCTTCTTTGTTCTTAAGATCAAATAACAGATAAATATCTCTTGGCATGCGTGACCGAATGTGCTGTTTTAAAAGCTACAACTTTGTCAAGATGACGTAAATGTATTTGTCTACTGTGTAGCTGAGCTAAGTCTCACTAAGTCTCCTTACTGATTGTGAGGCATCGTTAACTTGAGGAGCTAGTCATTTTAAAATGACACGAAAGTAAACAAGGGTTTCGGAGTAATGTGTGGAACTAGAGGTGTGCCGACTTTTGCCCCATGGTTCAGCTTTTGCGGTGTATATCAGGTGAACGGGTTGAATGTACTGTGTAAAACGTTTTGAGCCGCCGTGGATTTATTTTTTGATCTCTCCCTGCTTTCGGGCCATGAAACGCGCACAAAAAATGTAGACAACGAAGCCTCTAGTACGCACGCTGACTGGTTGTGTGAACCATATTGTGTTTAGACTGCACAACGGGTAAGCATGGACTCATTCTATGGATTTGAGACAACTGCAGCATTCCATTCTTTATATCTCTTCTCGCTATTAAAAGATATATAACGCCTCATTTCGCGTTTTTTCGTAGCACTTGAACAGATTACGCATCGTAAAGCATGAGTGATTGGATACTGAACTCCCATACCATAAAGGTGATATGTACCGGCCAGATGTGCTCAGTCAACCACTTGTGTGACAACCTCCTTGAGGTTTCCTGATGGTACTTATGCCCTCTAGTAAAATGTAAACAATTCGCTGTGTAAACCGGAGTTCATTAGGAGTTCCTGAACTTATTTCTGGTTTAGAATCAAACTAACAATCCACATCCCAGACCTTTTTGTTTGCTCCAGATACTGTTGTGGACCACAGTTTTCTTAGTGCCTTCTTAATACCGTGAACCCGAGTCTGGATAGCCCCTTGAGAGCCTGATGCGCTTAGCCAAACCAGAAAGCCAATGGACGTGCAAATCAGCTGATCTGTATAGGCGTGCCATGTGCAGCCAGGACCGGGCTGTTTACAAAGCTCACGTGGAAAGTTCCAGGCAGGTCAAAAAGTGATACTAGAGAATCAGTTGAGTTTCTCGTGAAAACCAAATTGATTTGCAAATGAGTGTATTTCTTGAAAACAGCGCAATTTGGGTTCAAGTAGAACATAAGGTTGACGGGGACTGCGCCCACCTGATGAGCCCCAAGAAGGGCGAAACCGGTCGTGGGCTGTCGAAGAGTTTTCAGCAACCTTGCGAGTAGTTTCCTTTATGAAGAAATAGAACTCATATGTCAAGGAGAAGTGAAGAACAACCAATTAAATCTGTCTCAATCAAAACGGTTATTCTATTGACAGTTGCGTTAGGAGCTAGTTAACCCAATAAATGCGTGATCGTGTTTGCATATTTGCGGCATCAAAATAAGCTACTAATATACCGTTCAAGCAAAAATATGTTATGTTTTGGACGGATGAATTTGCCTAGGGTGTTCTAAGGTCAGTCGATGAGTGTGCAGGTGTACCAGACGCATGATCGACCACAATCTTAGTACAGAAACGAGCCTTTCCTTCATGTGCATCAGGTTCATGGTACTGAGTACGTCTCAATGTATACTTTGGGCTAAACTCCTGGGAATTTATCTAAGCTGTGGTTGTTAGGCCGAATAATAGTGTTGAGCACACTTTTGTGAGTAATGTTAGCTGTTGCTCGTGCGTGAAGTGGAATGATATCAAATCACGTCATGCGTTTTCAACATTGAACTTTAAAAAGGAAGAAAGTTTAGATAAAAATATGAGAACAGAATTTCTATGTTTTTGCTGTTGCCATAAACGTAATAATGACAGGGACCAGAAAACAAATCAAGCCGCTCCATGGAGGCGGTAGATAGCATGTTTGGGAAGGTTTGTATGTACTGAATGAGCAGGAACAACCAGTATAAGTTTGCAATCATTGGGGCACTTTGTACCTACATGTTTGTTGCCGCAGCTTAACAACGCAGTGTGCTATTCTATACAACAAAGCTACCCGAGATCTATATTACTATTTGCCATAGTTAAGCTTGTCAAGATTACCGTGTAATCATACTAATTTAAGCAACTTTTGGCTGGTTTACCTCGAACTTTGTTTTTTTTGTATATTTAGGCTCGCGCCCCTTGTTTATCTCATACCTAATGGGGACTTCATTATTAATTCTCATTTTCCGGCCATTTAACGGCCATTTCACAATTTCACTGACTTCTAGAAGTACATAAAGAGAGGAAGACTCTCGTTTTCTACTTCTACATATTGAAATAGACCGAATTTAGGGATAAATACAAAACGAGCATATGCTCAAGTGCGTGAGGAACTGTGCCGCGACTTGTAGTGTACACATAGACGTACATCGCGGGAAAGTCGGCTAATTTCAGATCTGGTGAAAAAGCCCAAATTCTGTTTCCCACAGCATCACAGTGTTTGCAGTATAAGGGCATTACCAATACGCGTGTTATCCACATTTTGCGTGTTGATATCTCGAAGTGTTACGGTGAATGCACGATATGTCATCAGAACGACCCGGTATAGGAAGCGGGACTTACTTAACATAGTTTCTTGTTCCTAAACTGTTTCTACCATTTAGGCTAGAATGAAAGCGATTAATATCAGCGTTATCTGTTCTATTTAACTTGATTCCTTCTATTCATGAACAATTTTTTCCAAGGTTTCTTAGGAGGAACGATTTGGCCAATTCAAGGGCGTTGAAAATTTCGCAGCGAATTTTCAGCAGCAGTTAAACTAGCTAGCTCCACCGGAGGCATGCCTGGGAGTGGAGCAGGACCGCCAATCTTACTTCTTTTGTACGTTTGCATTCCCATGCGAGCTACGAAGGTCGTTTGTTGCTGACGCACAAACAGGTCTCTGAATGCTTACCATACAGGCAACAACACGCCATGGCTAAAAAATTCTGGATACCCACCGCAACGTCTTGTTGTAGACCACCGGTGAACTTTCACATATGCGGTCCCGAACCAACAAACAAGTTCTCTGCAAAATTTGAGTATATTAAATCTGATTGAATAGCAAGACCGTTATGAGATTACAGTGGTTCACGGTTTAACAGATTAGGAAGTCATTGCAATTACAACGTAATACTGCATTCTTTGCTTTCAAGGTGCCTCTCAGTTAAAGAACGTGTGGTGTAATGCGGTTGGCTGGCGTCCGATATATTTTCGCCGGCCTGTGCTCGGTAGATCAGGGTTCGTTAGAACGGAATGGTGCGTCACCATGATATATAATGTATAATACATATATATATATATATTACATACAACAGCATTTATAGGTCTTCTTATTTTGAAGTCCGTGAAACCTGAATTTGTGTACGGTGGTTCTATCCTGTTAAAAGATGAAAGCCAGGTATTCTCCTTCATTTTCTCAACAATATGTGGACAGGCATCAGGACAGGAATCTCCAGTCATTCGGAAGGCTCTAACTCGGGGTTCAAACGGTGTTCCATGAACCTATTCATTCAGCCATCCGGGCCTAAAGACCATAGTCAAACAGGTCATGGCTGAGTTTTCGGAATGTGTATATTTTCATGGTATAACCGAACAAATTTACTGGGTTAGTAATACTAGCTGCTCACTACGATTTGATGCTTTGTTTCCCATCTTCATTCATCTGTCATTGTTGCAGTTCTTGGTAGCGGGTGTGTAGATGTGTTCTCAAAATTCCACCCTGCCACCGTAAACAAAAACTAAGCTCAGTGTTGCCATTTCCAAAAGAAGGCTGCTACAAGCAGTAGTTTGAACGTGTTACAAATGAAGTCGACTTGTATCATAGGGTAGGGATGGACGAATCTATATGAATGACAATGTAGTGTATCTACTCGAGGAACTGGGACGTTTTTCGTTACAGTACTGCATAAGCTTGCGACGGAGGTAATTCTGTGCCACAAAATGTTTTCTTAGAAACGGATGCTTCTGTGCGTCCTCATACGGGACCTAATCAAAATTTGGCAAATAAGAAACCTCCAAGACAAAGTTCTGAGGGAAGACAAGATTAGAAAATCAAACTCGGTCTGTGCTGCTTTGTTTCCGAACGCTCGATTAAAATGCTTTCTTCGATGTTAGGGAAGAATCGTCCGCAGTCAAACAAATAGTGATGATCGGTGTCACCGGTACGTCTTTCAGATTTTGAAAATGCAATTTATAAGAAAAACATCGGGGTAAAGGAAAACGGTAGGGGATGGAATTTTCTAACGTCTTTCACGGTTTGACATTCCTTGACTAGCTTGATGGATTTCACTGACATTGGATGAAGCTATCTTCAACTCAGTTTATTATTCGAGGCCTGATTTTAAGTTAATCTTGCGTAGAGCAAACATAATGAACTTCTGGTTGGAGCTTCAAAGCTTCTAGCTCTAGAGGTCGCTCAACTTACTGCTTTTCGGAGTTGATCAACATCGGCGTTTAATTCACTAAGCAATGCAAGGTGCACGGTTTTACATGCAAGCTTGAATCGAAAAATACGATGAAACCTTTGAAATAAACCCATTCAAGACTTCGGGAGGGGTCAGAAGGCGCTTTCGACATGGTTTCTTTTTTCGGACAGTGCCGATGGTTACCACAGCTCAATGACTGGAAATCTCGGGATATGGTATAATTGGGTTTAATTTGCCACTACCAATCCCTTTGATAGACTCAACAGACCATCAATGCGAAAAAATAACACTCGGATTCAGCAAAGTTGTTGAGTAGTCGAGATATCAATGTAATGTTGGCAGTGTAGGGACACTTGAGAATTTCAAGGAAGATTTCATCTTGTAAATGAAGCCATTTTATGTTGATAACCTGAGATTTGATCCGATTTTTTTAGAAGACGTAACTTGGTAATTTGCGTGTTTCAGGTCAACGTCTGAATACACTTTGGACTGGGAAATCAAAAAAATGGATTGGACTTATAGTCTCCCTGATTGATGTATTCTTCTTTGGAGCATTCTTTTACGGCCTTAACAGTTTAATAAATGCCTACAGTGAGCTCGGAGTTTTCGAGAGCTACTGCAAGGGTAACGATTGCAGCGAACAGCGACGCATGTTCAGTTACGTATACGTCACGGGCGTCGTTTGTCAACTGGTCTTCTCTCCTCTGGTCGGAATCGCAATAGACCAAGTGGGCCTGAGATTTTCCAGACTGATTGCCGCGAGCTTATTCACAACGGGATCACTAATGTTCGCCTTTGCCAACAGACGCACTTCCTACTTGCTCTTTCCTGCAGTCTTTTTCGTCGCTGTTGGTTCCCTTGGTGGTCTGGTTTGCAATTGTTATATCAGCATCTGGTTCCCCAAATGTTGTGGACTTCTTCTAGCCGTACAAAGCGGCGCCTACGATTCGGGTGCGGCTGTCTCATTCATCGTGGTTCAAATACTACCATGGCTGTCGCTGCAAACATCGTTCATTCTCATTGGTGCGTTGGGGGCGGTCTGTGGTATACTGATGGCCGTATTTTTCCTCACACAACATGGAAATCAAATGGTACCGCCACAAGAGGCACAGGAAGACGCGCCGGATAAAAAACAGGTAATAATTTCTTCACGCAAATTCTGTTCTCCACGATTACACTCGAAAGGATAACCCCAAACTAGATTAATCAATACTTTTTTCCCGAGTTATTACCTCATTCATGAGTTACTTTGAATAGTGTCTTGAAGCGTCGCTTTACAGAGACAAAACGTGGATAACGGTCCAATACCCTTTTGATGCTGATTTGGACTAATCCAGTAGATGTAATCTTTATATAATTACCATTTTCCACAATTCACTGCAGCACTACGTGGAAGTACCCTTGCTTAGTCGTTTTTGAGCGGTCATATTGTTATTGCTAGCAAACGCGTAATCGATTTGAGGGTACGGTAAGCTGGGGAAATTCACAATGCTGGTATTGGCAGCGAAGCAGAAAGTCCACCGTAAATAAGTTATAAAATAGTGGCTAGGAAGTGAGCAAATTCATTCAATTGTGTAACCGGAATACTACTGATGGGCTCTATTAAGGGCGAAACTCGAGTCAAGTGCTTCTCCCTTTGGTGCACCGTAAATAAGTTATAAAATAGTGGCTAGGAAGTGAGCAAATTCATTCAATTGTGTAACCGGAATACTACTGATGGGCTCTATTAAGGGCGAAACTCGAGTCAAGTGCTTCTTCCCTTTGGTGTGGACTCACCAGGATGATTGCGCGTGGACAGGAGGACGATTATTCAAACGACAGTCGTGTAAGTACGTATCCTACAAAATCCCGCAACCACCAATGCCCAACAATATATATTCCTTTCCTTTGGAATAGCTTAGTGGAACAATAAAAATCGAATTGTCTTTGACATTCTGATTCTCATGACCCAATTATTTATTTCTTGCCGCTCGGCATCTCTGGAGACAGACGTTGCATGATATAATGTTTCAAATGAACCGATCAAACTTTGTGACTCATTATGAAGAATGTCCGTTGTTCTATCAGGCGCATGGATCTTTTCCATAATTGTAGCTTTGACTTGTCGCAGTTTGAAGCATGCACTGTGTGTTTGCTTCGGTGGCTCCTGGATCCCATTCAAAGAACAGTTGACCCTCTTTAAGTCTAAATGTTGTTCACAATTGAGGAATTTTGTATATCATGTACCATGTCTGAGTTCAGAAGGTGTAGGAAGCTCAAGCAGTTCAACCTCGTTGCTTTATAAGTACTAAGTCGTACCAACTACCGTGGCTGAAGTTACTCATCCGCAAGGACGAAGCAAAATCACCAACACCATTAGGGCCATTTTAGCCTGGCAACTTCTACATCACCGGGGTAAAACTACACTTTTCCACGAGGCTAGCAAAGCCGCCCGCACCTTGTTGCTTATCGCTAAAGCGTAGGAAATACTATCGTTTTGAGGTAGATGATTGTACGAGAGTTGAGGAGGATGAAGGATTCTTAGGCTCTCTTTTGGGGACGAACTCAAGTGTGTTTATTTTTTCATCCAAGATATCACTAAACTAAGGTTCTAGGTTTTTCTTGTTTTATCTGGTTGAACAAAGTGTCCTTTTCATGATTAATGAGTTAAACAGCTGATTCTCACAAAGTAAAATTGTTGTCGAATTAAAACGTTTCACAACTGTTTGTAAGCTATGTATAACGTTTCATTGTTATATCTCATAAACATATTTGCGGCACAAATGCCAATATTTGTCCAAGATTTTCTGCGGCTTTCTCAAATTTACTTTGCAGTCAGGAAAAGAAGAAGAACCAGCCCTCAAGCAAGTGGATTTAGAAATGGTTAGGATTATTGAGGAACGTTATCCAAGCCTGAAATCATGTCTTCTGTCCTGGCCTTACGCACTGATCATGTTGTATTCTTCAGCTGGAAATTTACGGTTCTCATACTACAACAGTGGACTTAGCAGACAAGTCAATGAATCCTTCAGTAATGATCAAGAATTGGTGAATGAGCTACTTGAAACATTTTCAGCAGCAGCTTTGTGTGCCTTCCTTGTTTCACCTCTTAATTGGTTGATTATAGACCTGTCTAGGAGATATTACAAACAAAAGCTATCGCGCGAACTTGAAGACATTCCAGAAATTCCTTCAGATGAAGAGATCTATTGGACGAACATGCGGGCATTGCTTCCAACTCTGATGATTCTACCAACTCTGACTCTCTTGATAACCATTACCCAGCTGATACCTGGCCACCGTTGGCTGTTCTATTTTCAGTTTGTTGCTGATATCTCTTTCCACACCATGTTGGCTAGGGTAACGTCGACGAACGTGATACTCGGATTCCCGGCGGAGCACTTTAGCACCCTGATGGGTCTTGCTCTCATGGGTGGTGGGTTGACGGCTTTATTACAATACGCCTTACTGCAAACACCGATCCAAGTAGGAAACAGTGTCATGTTGCTCATTAGCATCTCGCTCTACGTTCCACCTTTATTTTACCTTATTAAAAGAAGGTGACATCTCATACTGTATTTCTTTGCGTACACATCAGTTTCTTTCAACTAAACGTCGTCTCCTTATGACTTACACATGAATCGAGTTCCAAAATTGTTTCTTTTGTACTCTTTGACTTCAGATCAGTACAGACTTTATAGACTTGATACAGTCTTTCACAGATTCGAGTAAAATTTGAAGTAATATTGTTGTTGTCACCCTTACTGTTCGCAGGCGATTGTACTCAGAATGAATGTTCTACTCATCAACAAGTTGTTCCAAACAATCAGGCTACATACGATCCTGCTAATGATAATAAACCAAAAAGAAGGACAAAAAATCTAAGTTCCTTGGGGATGAAGTCAAAATTGATGAAAAGACCAGCAGCTGAAATCACCGGGCCCTAGCAGTAAGCGACCATAAGTGTGCAGCGTATCCCAATCAGCAAACAGCACGGCAGCCAGTGACGACATATTTACCAGAGGGGTCTTCCTTAAACCCTGTTGATACACAAAACTTGCCGTGTGACGTTCTTCATCTGGGCAACGGTTTGTTTCAGTTCTCAAGGTTCATACTGCACGAATGTGCACCATCTTATATTCCGGACAGAATACTTGGCTTTTGGTTATCTCCCTAATGGTTTGGCACCACACCTTGTCAAAAATGATCTTGACAGTTTCGGTCTTAAAAGAATTTTCAGCTCCTTCTTGGACGTTCACCAGAAAATCTCTCTTTTGTGTCAGCATAATAGTTGAGGGCATGTCTATAACGGCAGAACATTGTTTAATACGTCCGGTGAATCCTTGAAAGTTACATTCTCAAATGCAAAAGTGTTTTGGATGATGAGCATCTACTAAACTGCTAAGAGACACACAACTCGGGTACAGGTGTAACGGTGATACTACTGATCAGGAGGCACGCGAGTAGTACGTGTTGTTCGTAGAATTTCGCTTTGCGTCGACTGGAAAAGGGAATTCTGTTGCGGAATTCGTGGGGCCACTTTGTAACATTTGCTTGGATTTGACCGACGAATGAGTGGAGACAACGAATCCATAGGAAGACTTGTTCGGGAGAAGATCTGTGTCCAGTTTTTGTAACTAAGATACAGATTAGACTTTTGCTTCCCTGTTCAATGTTCTGTAACCGGTCAGTTGGCATTTCCGAAGAAATAACTCCGCAGCGAAGGCCTTCTTCCTTTCACAGGTAGCCCTGGTGAAAACGGCTCCACGAACACAAAACCGGATGAATCAACTCTCCGGAAAGTCCCAATAGGCCACCTGTGCCATATTATCCCTTCCACTCTAGCTGCTAACAGTCGTTGGGACCTAAATGCCATGACTGAAATGGCGAGCAGTGCCATGGAGAACGGACAAACCTCGGTATTATTAAATCCTGCTACTGAATACTGCTTCCATACGATTGATAAATATATGGTATCTCCGTCGCCAACTTTACTATGCGTCCCTCGGTGGGGCGGGCAGGTTTTGGGGGAGCTCGGGTAAAGTTCAAAAGTGCTCGTTCCATTAGCAGTGCAAATGTAGTATCCAGCATACCCAAAATTGCACTAAGTCGAAAACTGCCATAGTCGACTTTGACTCATGGAACCTACGACACAAATAATAACTGTGACTACACGGGGTCGGCCAACCACACACTAGCCGCTTGTTTCGTAAGAGCAAGGAGGAGAGTGAACAACACTGGCGAAGGTTGATATAATGCATCCAGATAAATTAATTACTCGATCCATGCGGGTGCAGGCCGAACTCGGCCAGCTAAACGACCATCCGCGCGTACAGTATGAAATCCTTAACCGTCGAACACAAGGCCTCCTAATTCTGCCGACGAAACGTCATCTCCGTGGATGTTCCTATGCTAATCACTGACGTTATTTTACCCGTGCTTTTCGGCCTTTTGTCAAGTTCCTGCTGACGTCGTTCAACGGCGAGAAGCGCGTGGTTCTGCAGTCGCGAATCTGGCCATCTGCCTTTTAGTACCGTCAGCCTATCCTAATGGCCGATCACACCAACAGCCGTCCGGCAGTCTTCACCATCCGAAGTGATCCTGGTAGTTTATGCCTTGTGCCACAACAATGGTAATACAATCTAGCCTCATAAAAGATAATCCAATATTGGAACCGCCTGAGAGCTTTGCGCGGCCATAATTCAAGTAGGTCAGCTTATGGAGACTGGATTCATCCCCCCGACAACCCGTGAGCTTTGTCCATGCATATGGTTCCCAGGGACGAACACCAAAATGTGGCGCTCGTGGGAGGGCCATAGGGTGGTTGATTGGGTCACGTTCCTGAGCGTTACTTGATCAGGCAGATACACGACCTTACTGGACCCGTGGTACAGTCAGTGACGTATGCAAGTTGGAGATGCTGAATGGTTATCATCAGACATCAGTCGCACCTCAAGATTGTGAGAAGACATTTATCTCCACTTGACTTCTAGCTCATGCGGATCTCGTTTGGTTGCGTCGATACTCCGTAGAGCTGGTGACGCCTGATCGACCCTTCGAAGAATATCTTCCGTCCAGCTATATATCAATGGTCTTTCCTTTGTTATGGCCAAACACTCGATCACACGGAAATTTTAGCCCGGTGCTCTGACATTTCTGAATTGCTCAGCCTCATGGCAATGGAGGAATTACTAGCCATTCCTCACCCCAGGTATGGTTTGACTTTGCGAACGACTACCCCTTGCAAGAACGTCGACTAAGGCGTTAGTCTGCAGGTTCACACTCAAATGACGGGCGAATCCCTCGAGTCTAATGGACATGCTTACCATTTTGCGTACCCTCATGATCGCCTTATTCGTGTACACATAAATATAATTAACCCTCACTAATGTCGAAATCGAAAGTTTAACTGTTGCCTTGCGTTGATGGCTCTACTCGTTACCCGAGGTTTCCACCATCACGATCGTCTTGACGTAAACTCCGACCACTTTACACGGCAGTTGCGTGGAAATATGTATGTGTTCCGATAACCATAACCTATTTGCGGTCAATGTTGTATCTGTGCATCGTTGCTTAGTTTCTACCAGTAGTTTAGAATCTATCGCCCTGCCCTAAATTCTTGAAATGTTGGAGTTCTGTGGGGGTGGCGGGTAGACTAATTCAACTGATTACGCTTGGCGACAAAAAACGTGACCTGGTCGGCAGCTCTTCCGGATTATTCAGTGGCAATAGGGTACCGTTAGCAACGCCTACGTCATTTGGACACTTCCAGAGAATGTCCATGGGGGGGCGCCCAAAATGCGCTTAGTGGGATGTGAACTGTCGGTGGCAGTTCAACTGGCCGAAAAAGCCCCGGGCGATGTTGCTGTCGTCGTGATGGGCGATCCACAGCCACTTCAGCTTTGACTTCCACTCCTTTTGTAACAAGGCCAACAGATGGCTCTCAAATTTAAATCCATTCTCGGTCACGATGAGATATTTTTGCTTAGATGATCGAAAAATCATAAATCTACACAGGATGGCGCCCATGGTTAAACATTGAAAAATGTGTTGTCTAAATATGGACGGGCATAAAACAGTCCACGGGTATCCTAGCCAACGAAGCTTTGATTTGTTGGGGCAGGCAATCTCTGGCCAGATTATGCCCGAAGAAATCCATATGAGATAGACGGTGTGGCGGCTGTCTTTTCAGTATTGTAAGGCTCAACGGCCTCCTTATGATAGATGTCCACTGGGCCGACCTCACTGTAAACCGATACCATTTCTAAACGTTCAGTAAGGTAGGGAGAATATCGGAAAAGGAACCACTAAGAAGTTAGCCCAGTAGTTTTCCGGTGAATGCTGAAAGGTTAAAGACCACATGTTTTGCTAAAGGTGGATGAGAGATATCCGCCTCAAAAACCTGTTTGAATTCTCCCCTAGACCCACGAATACCTAGGGGACTAAAGGTTGTACAAAAATACGTGGGTTTTTTATTTCTGGAAAGCGCCCCACGTCTTCGGTTATATAATGTGCTTCCCGTAGAGGCCTTGTAAAGCGACGGCACCCGTTGCGCGATCCTAATATTTGTTGAAACCTGAAAGAATTTTGTCAGTTTTAGAGAGAGACTACATAGCGTGTGCTAGAAGCTCAATGCATGGCCTAATTAGGATCCTCTCGACAAAGAATGTTTAAATACGCTTGTTCTAAAAGGCGACACTGCTTTTTACGGCGAACAAGTTGATGTAAATCAGGAGCCGGTTAATAAATACCTCAATACTGACGCAAGACCAGAGGCTGCAGATAGTTGTTCGACACACGTTCGAACGTGCCACATTTTGGTTTGTTTTATAATCCTTACACCATATTTTCTCAGCAGATCTCGTAAAAAGGACAACATTACTTGCATGAAGACAAAACTCATGCTTTCTACAGGCACTCAACGAACCAATCAGATTGAACTAACTGAGGCCACAAGGAAAGTGAGACTATAAACTGACCGATTGAATCACGCTAAAGTCACCCCGTGATCAACCAGTCATTTAGGAGCCTTTTATCACTGCTTAAGAACTACAAAAGATGGGTTAGAGTGGAGAATTAACGGCCCAAACAAACGATGATGACGTATTTGTGGCTAGGTGAGAGTTTGCATCCCAAACATCAGGCTCAGGAAACGTTCCAACAACCGTGTCGCGACCCGGGTTAGTGGTTCTCCTCAGCAACGCTACCTCAATTCAGTCACTATTCTGCATTCCGCATGAAAATAACATCTTCCTCGTATGAAGTACGACTTTTTTCGTGAGATAAGGTATCAAAAACTAGCACGCTTAGCGTGGTGGTAAGTGCTCATTATATTTTTTCATACAACTGCACGTCTTTTAGATTTAGCTGCATAAAAAATTGATAAACTTTTCCACACAGTGATCTCATACACACCAATCAGAGATCCTCTGTTATTGAGGCACAAACTAACTTGTCAAACCTTATCGCTTCGAAATGCTTAGCATATTTCCCGGGGGGTCTTCTCTGCTTTTTGCTTTTGACGCTTGTTTAATGGGGGGACCGGCAAGCTGAAGGATTCAAGTCGGTTACAATGCGACATCTTGTCTTCACCAAAGGGTCCTCTTAAGCTATCTCTCGAACTTATTTTTGACAAGCCGTCGCACTATTGGCATAGACCTCCCACTGACCCACTGGGCACGCGACTTCACAAGGGACTTAGTTTCCTTTCCACAGAATCCCAAAAAAATACCAACCGCTGCTCCCTATCGGCTGATGAGTTCGTAACTAATCGGAATCCTTTCATCCGTTCCACACTGATAGAAGATTTCAGTCTTAGGTACTTTTAACGTTCAGCTTTTCTCACCAGTTTTATTCCAGGTGGCCCCAGCACGTAGGCACAGCTTTTTAATATTGCGCTCCTTCTACCTTGAAGACGCAATGGTCACAGTTTCTAGGCCATGCTTGAGATCAATCATTGAATTATGTCCAGTATTATCTTTCCCTTATACTCAAACTTGTGGACTAGCGCCGAAGAACGTGAAACGCTTGTTCATGTAGAGGTTGTTCTCACAGTCCGACCCTCCCTCCCACCGCTCCCGCTGTCAATGTTAGGGCTTGAACCACTATGAATTAGATGGTTTACACTAAATTTAACCCTCTGACACCGCCTGCTACTCAAAGATGCTTTCATACAGAGGCTAGGCAAAACTGTGCCACAAGTCCTCAACATAAATTCCTTAACTCCGGCAAACTTCAAGTGTGCCTCTTTAGCTCGTGATAACCTGCACCACTACTTCTTTCTAGTTTATTGTGCTTGTAACTCGAACAGTCTTCCTGAGCAGCTGCAGAACAATATGCATCATTATACCTCTGTGGAACTGCCGTTGTCTTCCTTAATACCCATCTCCCTTCGATTTTCTTTTTGACCCAGTTTGAGTGCCCATTTGAGTTTGGCAACAATACATTTGGCGTGCAAGTAAAAGATCCCCTGGTCCGATTCAAGCCACTGTAAACTTTTTCTTGCCTAATTGATCCGAATGTGTTGGTACTGGCCTGGTTGTTTTCTCCCCGTTTATTTATACCTTGTTCTAGCGAAGTCCTTACCCTGGATTACTTTAAGAGCTCTGGCTAATGATCAGTGTTCTGTTTAGCCCAGTTAATATCAGCAGAAAACAAATCACCCAGCCGTTTTTCCAATAAAAGGGCAAACACTACACTAATATATATGTATATATTTATTCCATCCGATAATGTGTTCCACAGCCCATTAAACAGCCACATCCAACGTAACTGTACGCCTATGTTAAACAGTGTATCTCACACCAATGCTCAGTCCCTGTTTGGCCATGGCGCACGCGTTCTGAACGTCAGCATTCTATTCCCATCGTTCTACTGGTAGCTGTAACATCACTTATCCTATCTGCGACCAGGCTTCGACAGCGTCTAACTGCTGTTTGCATGTCCCAATTGACTGGGCTGGCT